AATTTTGGACACCCACATAAGGGGTATAAGGGTATTTGGAGTAATTCTTGATGAAATTACACTTTTGAGGGCCTTTTTTGGGTCTAAATTCACGGGCCTATTGTCAAAAAAACATCGCGTGGGATCATTAAATGTGGTATGATTGTTTGAAAACACGCCACTTATAATTTAATAAGCACAGGTTGTTCTGCATTCGATTGATTGATAGCTTCATAGAAATGTTTAAATAAAGCAGATAAATTATTGCGTTCAACAGAGAAAAGACTTTAATCTCGATTTTAAATTAAGTCATTTTTCATGACATAATTGATGATGCGCTCTTCTCCTGTTGGATTTAAAATAAACAATTTTTTTATGCCATCATGTGTCTAGATTATATAAGCGAATAAACAAATTAAGTAATGTGTTCATTTTCGCAACAAGTTTATTTTAAATCGATACTGATCAGAGCTGGGCAGTATTCGATTTTGTAAATACTTTTTTTCACTACTAGCGTCTGATGACATGATTATTAACCTTTTTTCCACTTGTAAAGTAGGCTTTTTCGGCATTTGTTCAAAGTGGTTAATAATTTTTTATTATTAACTAGTAGTCAATAATGAGAACTGTCACGCTGTCACTTTTAGAAAACACAACCCGAAATTTCGCTCAATGAACGTTTAGACAAGTTCTCTAAAACGAATAATTGCCACCATTCGCAATTTCCAGAGAAATTACATACCTAAAATTATCACATTTTGAAAAAATTCGAACGAAATTACTCTTTGAAAAATCTCAATGACAGAACAAAATACGGCCTGTTTGACTTGTACTTCCACGTACTTGATTGACATGTTAAATTAAGAAACAAACAATTCTGTCCAACCGTTAACTCTCTTATCAATATAATATGTTAATTTAGAGGATTTCAAGTGCTAGTAGTGAAAAAAATAGTATATATACCACGGTAGAGAAGTCTATTATTGCCTTCGCACCTTACACCCCTCGGCGCAAGCGCCTCGAGATGTAATCTTGGTGCTCAGGCAATAATACTGTACTTCTCTACTTGATATATAAATGTACTATTTTTGTATCTCTTATGGTTTCCGATTTTCCCATGTTGTTGCTGCTCATCTTTGACACAATGTATATATTACATTACTAAGGTGGCAAGAGGGGTGGGGGAGAGGCGGAGGTAAGGGTAATATCACTTTGTACATCTACGAAACTAGACTACAGTTATAGTAGGTACGTACAGTAACTTTCAACAATCTGGAATAACATTTAATTCATAGTAGGGTGAAATTTTTGTTCTTAAAAAAATACACTAATCTCGTAACCACCTAGATACTGCCCTGGACGAGGAACAGACGGACAGACGAACGGACGAAACCATCACATTAGTAAGGAGAATTTCTATCGATAAATTCCCCTAAAAATGAGGCCTCTTTGTTTTAATCTTGCAACATCTTAAAGAATAGGTGCCTTTATATAAACGCACTACGCTATAGGGGTTAATTTCTGAATAATATTTGTTTCTTTTATTATTAGCTTTTCTTATACGCTTATTCTATGAAAACAGACCTCTTCGTTTTAAAATCCCAACAAAACCACTCTTTCAAAACGGCCCATCATGGTATTTATTGGTAATATTAATATAAAAATATTCATACCTTACCTATACCTAATTACTTCGAATTATATACCCCAAATTGTATACACAATTAATTGAATAATACCAGCATTACATATAGAGAATTACTTTGAAATTATTGTTAAAATGGAAATTTCTGCCCCCTCCATTCAGAAAATTTAAA